AGCCACACACACGGTGGCACTGCACCAGCCACACACACGGTGGCACTGCACCAGCCACACACACGGTGGCACTGCACCAGCCACACACACGGTGGCACTGAACCAGCCACACACACACGGTAGCACTGCACCAGCAGTGTAATCAGTGATAATCACTCCATTACTGATAAAATTGCCCTAATTCTGTATTTTTTGGAATTTCAAGAAGCAAGACACTGAGAAAATAATTTCAGTGGCTAAGATTTTAGCAGCGATTAATATTTGTGCACCGACTAGAGAGCTGTTACATCGATTCACAATTTCTATAAATGCTCCATTTGTCTGTTTTAAACAATCATGGCAAACTATTTCCAATAATTGATTCGGATTTCAACTCTTCCTTTACATGCAAAATATATCTATATCATTCAAGATATAACTCACTCTCACCTGGCACAAAATTTTTAATGTTTAAACGAAGAATGATCCGTCGCAAGTGTCGAAAGCTTATCACTCAATCTCAAAGCGCCAAGTCATGATCTAATATTAGAAATGTTCCTGGAACACTTGTAGAGCTTAATATTAAAAATCTAGTGAACGTTATAATTGTGCTTTATAATTGCAAAATTCCATCACTCACGACAGTAGGACAGTGAATATAATTTGGGCAAGAATTTCAACCCAAAAGGTCGAGACTTAAAACGTGAACACCGCATTGATTATGACAGAGAATATAAAATCATCAGTTCAGGCTTTTATGTTTATAAGTACCTACATAGAATGTCAATACGAAATATGAATGCATGATACATATCATTCTGAAACAAGATTAACACATGAACATTTATGAAGTTAATAACTTTTGCAGTTATGTAATCAGAAGTGCCTGTCGATGATACAGAAACTTTTGCATGCAGAAACGAAACTAACACCACCACACCGCCGACATGTGTGTTCGTGCCACAACATTCAGAAGAACCAAATGTCCTAACCTCTGCTGTAACAGCCACGTATGGACCACCATCTTACATTCCTCTACACTTTATGCCTATTTTCACGCACTGAAACGAGCCACGGATAATCTAAGAGAAGTAAATGATGCAGAAACTAGTCGAGATGACGGGTATGGCCGCGCGCGAACCGATTTGAACGGTGTGTGTGCGAGTGTAGGTTTGTGGCAGGCAGCGCGGGCAGAGGGGGTTGTAGTAAGGCGTGTGGGGGTTAAGTGGGGGTGCGCTTCTGCCGTCGGCCGTCTGCGCTTCATGGGGGGGCGTGATGAGGAATCGGGGGAGAGAAAAGAGGAGGCGGAGGGGGAGAAAGGTGGGAGGGAAAATAGGAGGCAGAGGAGAAGGGGGCGAGAGAACCAGACTCGATAAAGAAAGCATGGCAGCTTCGCTCACGAAGCAACCAAGTTTACAGCGAAACATTTTTGAAATTTTAGTTGGCATTGGATCAAACTGTTGCATATGTGACGAACTAATACGTGAATTAGTACTGAAAAACTTATTCTTTTGTTCGCAAAGTCGGCTCAAAGTAAAAAATGTACTTCGTTTGGGAACAACAAAGCTAACGAATATCTTATAATAACTAACATTATTAATACCCTTTCTTTTTCGATAATATGGCTAGTGTCAGTCGGCAAATGAGTAAATTTACTGAAAAAAATAATCTTGAAACATATATATAAAATATTATTGCGAATTTGGGAATTGGAGTACAGGTGAACAAAGTTGAGTGTTGATGTGCAACAACACGAATTTCGTCGCAGTATTCATCGAATATATATAGAAGAATCAAGAAATCGAAACGGCAATTCAAATAAATGTTAGAATAAAATATTCAAGCGAAATAATCATTCTAAAGTTCGAAGTTTTATACAGCGTCGATATTTAAAGGTCATCAGAAATAGCTCGCGCAGACGCAACCATATAAGCGGATTGAGAACAAATTAATGATTTATCTCGCCATTAAACTCGTAACAATTAATAAAATTTAAGAAGAAGTAATATAATTAATAAATTTTTGAGCATTCAATGGCCAAGGCACACATTAGAGAGAGAAATGTTCTTCTTTGGGATTCAAAATGAATACGGAAAAAATACGGAAACAAATTTCACAATCGTTCTTTTCCTCCAGGCAAATTTCGTTGAAACATTAACACTTAATTTCGTTGAAACAAAATTGAATAAAAGTTAATTTCCCACTAACTGATGGGTGAAAATCTCATTGTTCTATGAATCTTTAAGCTTGTTGGGACGCTGAAAAGAACCAGCATCGCGGGAAATTATTTTGGTCCCCCCCTTCGCGATCTTTGATTTCGTGAAAAAAATGTTAAATAAAAGTTGATTTCCTACTAACTGACTGGTAAAAATCACAATGTTCGCGGAATCTTTAAGCTTGTTGAGACGTGGAAAAGAACCAGCAACGCGGGAGATAATTTTGGTCCCCTCTTTCCCGATCCCCCCATCTTCCCTCCCCCCCGGAACATGGGGAAGTACCGACACTCTCAGGAAGAGGAAACCTGGCAAGGGAGAATATGGGAGGGGGGGAACAGGGGAGAATGAAAAGGGGGTTTGTAGGAGGGAGAGACGCACGGGAGGCAGGAGGCAAAATGGGGGGGGGGTGGGGGGGGGTTAGGGAGCCACACGGGAGGTTACTGTGGAATGCGGCGCCCGCCTCAGCCGCCAGCCTGGAATACTGACAGACCAGGCCCAGCGTGGGCGCCGCCGCTGGTCTGGTGCCTGGTGGTTTGTTTGGTGGTTTGAATGACAGGTTGTATAGGTTGACTGGTAGTTCGCATGATGGTCTGGTGCCTGGTGAGTGGATTGGTAGTTTGGATAAGAGGTTGTCTGGGAGTTGGATAAGAGGTTGTCTGGTGCCTGGGGGTTTGTGGTAGTTTGGACGACAGGTTGGTTGCAAGATGGGTTGACTGGTTGTTTGTATGATGGTCTGGTGCCTGGTGGGTTGTTTGGTAGTTTGGATGACAGGTTGGTTGAAAAATGGGTTGACTGGTAGTTTGTATTATGGTCTGGTGCCTGGTGGGTGGATTGCAGTACGGATGACGGCTGCGTTGCATGGATGAATGGTAATTTAGATGGTGTGATGGCTGCTATAAGGGGGCGCAGTCTGCATGGTGTCTTATATAGGACAGGAGGTGTATCGGCAGGTATAGTTGACAGGTGAAATGGCAGGTAAGTTGACAGGTAGGTTAACAGGCAAGTTGACTGATAAGTTAACAGGTAATATAGCAGCTAAGCTGACAGGTTATTTTACAGGTAAATTGATGGGTTAGTTGGATGATTGCGGGCTTGATTTCCAGAACATTGAATATTTTTTGGTCAGGTTTATAAGTATAGTTGTGGTTGTGGCGCGGCAGATGTGGCGTTTTTCATTTGATGCTCGAGTCCATTGGAGGTAAATGAACTTGCTTTTAAATTTTCAAGTTGAGAAGGTGTATTTATAAACGAAGCGTGCATGTGAACTAATGTCTATCAAAACCTACATACTTGTAATAGTTATCGTTACACTAATACGACAAATGATAATTTTACGAATCCGTGCAAACTATCGTGCAACGATCGCCTTCCCTAAACCCCGCTTCAAACTTTCATAACTGGAAGCCTTAAAGAAACAGAAACAATAATTGTAGCCCAAAAGTATTATATAAACTTGGGAATATTCGTCTTCTGCTGCATGAGTGCAGCATATTATATGACATGGCGACGAACCTGTTCACATATGTGAACGTATGTATAAACGAATCAAAGTTACTATTATTTCGAAAATGATGGTTCAGTAAATGTATAGGAAAATCCTTAATCATTGGTGACGCATATTATTCTATCATTATTTACCACAGGAAAAATAACAGAGATTGGCACCAAGTTCAGCAAACATCAAGAATTACTAAAAAAACTTGATTTAATAAATTAAAAACCTTTGAACCGGCTAGCAATTTTAAAACAAACTCGCATAATTTTTAAACCTGATACAGTCAATGTCGCTAAGAGACTAAGACAAATACGTTGTAATTTGTTACATAAAATTAGTGATTTTCAAGCGTAAACCCAACTTTCATATCTGCATGTACAAATGCCTGAGTTTCGCATATAGCATTCTTCTAACAAGATGATATAATGATGCAAGACAAACAAAATATTTCGAGGGACTTATATTTCCTGTA